AATGCAAAAAATTGGAAATCATATCTTGACATACAAATCGTAACAAAAACAGAGGCATCAGTCCCATCATTCAACCATCCCAAATTAATCAAAACCGGTAACCCCGTGCCCGGATCAACAATAGGTGGAATCGATTGTCGAAATTGAAAACTTCCCGTTGGGTATCCTGTTCTTGAATTCCATGATGATGGGGAGTCAAAATCAGGTGCGTATTCGTTGATGTTTAGCCATGATCCTAGGATGAAGGTGTTGTCGCCGGGTGGGATGCCTGGTGCTGTTAGATCTTTGCGGCTGCCGGCGTGGGGGTGGGAGTTGGAGTGTTTTTTGGATGTTGTTGGTTTTGGTAGGGAGACGAGGAGGGAGATGAGGAAGATGAGATTGAGGATGGAGTGGGTGGTGAGACGGTGGTTGAGGATATGGTAGTTATTGTTTTGTGGTGAATCTGATTGTTTGAGCATTATCATTGGGCAAGTTTTTGTTTTGATTTGGAATGAGAAGAATGAGAATAATGAGTGATGGGTTGGGAATGATGCCAAGAAAATGAAATGTCGAATCGGATTGGAGGGTTTGTCTGAACTTCTGAACAACAAATTGTCGGAGTTTCTAATAAACACAGCCACCCGAAAGCCTCACAACAAACGCCTGTTATTTCTTATCTCATTTGGATCAAAATAAGCAGCTTTGATGGGTAACCTTTGAACGCGTAACGCGTAAAAATACATGTGAAGGTGTTGGAATGACATATTTATTTTAAGATGATCTTGCTTTTACGAAGAGAATCACCTGGTGCCTTTCCCAGATAGATGGAAATTGAAAGCAAATATTCCTGTTTGAAGCTCTGGCCTGAGGGGGGTTTTCTACTTTTATTAACATAAGCTATGGGAAGGTAATATTCACTTTATTAAATGCGCATTGTTTTTGCTTAATTTGCCTTAGCATCTACACTACAGTATACCCTTGTTGTTTTTATGTGTGGTTTGACTCCAAAACGCGTCCACTGCTGTGAGTTTGGACATGTCAAATCAAACGCTCATTTTTTCTTTTCGTTCATCATCAACCATGTCTACCATGGACGCAATCCTGCCATTCCAACCTGAACTGGCATGGCCGATCTGGCACGATGGAGTTCATGCATTGAGAGCAAATAGTCTTCTATTATCATTTGTCCATGCATTATACATTGCATACTCGTATCGCAAAAATACTCCAAAGGCCTTGCAAACGGGAAAACATGCTTTTACTCGCGGATTGAGTGAGTGATATTTTTCCATCTGTTTTGTTGTTATAGGGGTTTGATCTGTACTGGCATTACTAACCTTTTCATTCGATAAATAATCTCTCTATCCTCATCCTTTAGTCATCCATCTCGTTACTGCATTGGGTGGTGGAACAACTGCAGGTAATGAATAGATTTTGGTTTCCTTCTCTCATCATCATCATCATCATCGTCATCTCGAATAACAAGTATCATCTCCACATTACATCATACCGTCAAAACCAACATCTAAATTAATAAAATAGCCATCATCACCGGCCGTCCAGTTCCATGGCTGTTAAGCAATGACCTCCTCCCAATCTATATCCTCGGATACTTCACAATGACCCTGTTCCCCATGGACCTCCTCTTCGTCATCTCAAGATCCATATCCCCAGTCTCCGAACTGACTTTTGATCTCGTAGATGCAATCATCAGAGCCTACTCAATGGCATCCACCATCGATCATTTCAAATCAACAAATGGGACTGTTGCATCGTACATCAAATCGACATCGTCAGGGTTAAACCCTTCAACTTTGATTTGGCCGCAACTGGTTGTTGGTGTTGTTTCGGTTACCATGGGTGGGATTTATTGGAAATGGTTTTTGGCGGGGGTTGTTCCTGGGGTTGTCAACGAATCTTCAACTGCTGTTAACTCATACCCGGCTTTCCAATATCCTGGATGGGATTTTAATGTCATTATTGTTTCGACGTTTACTTATATCTATGGAACTGGTGGTTACAAGACTATCAACGCGTATTGGAAGGAGGCAAAAGCTTTCCAGGGTAGCAGTTTGATGTTGGCTTACTTGGTTCATGCGGTGGACTTTTTCTGGGCGGAGGTGTACCCTGTTGTTAGGAGATATGCTACCTTGTTGGGGGTTCCTGTGAAAATGGCAAGTGGGGATTGGAAGGTTTTATGTAGTTTGATTATTCTTGTTGGGTTTTGGATTAGACCTAGACCTGTTGCTACTGCCAGCGCTGGAAAGGTTCAGGCTGCTTCCGCGCGTGCTAATCCTCAGACAACTGTTGTGCCACCTGTAAGTCAAAAGCAAAAGGTTGGTGGTGCCGATGGTGCATCGTCTTCTTCGGTTGGTGGTGGATCAGGGTCAGGGTCTGGAAAGGCTGGTCATGAAGGAAAGAAGAAAAAGTGAGCGGAGAAATGTGAACGATTTTATGATGATGGTGGGATTGATGAACAGGGACTTGTTTTCGTAGTTTGTAGTTTGTAATAGCTTTCTATTTTGTTTCGATAGGATGGTTCATTTTTTTTCTTCTTTTTTGTAGTTTGCTTTTTATTTGTGTTTGTTGTATGTTTGATTTTTCTTTTGTTTGAAAGAATGATAAGGCTATTTCTTTTGTTTGCTGTTGTAACTTCCCTCTTGCCTATGAGCAAAAATTGAATAAAAATGTGTTTTATTTTTTTTGTTGTTGTTTGTTTTGGCAACGTCGTTTACAGATTTCGATGGGACAACTACAAACACGTCGCGTAATTGTCAAACGCGACTTTTTTTTATCCTTATTTTGTCCCTTCCCTAAACATAATATTCAAGTGGCTGACGAAATGCCTTTCAATCCCCATCAAAGCAGAAAGTTTGGCGCATCACACACAGTGGCTTGGGCGAACAATTTGAGGGGCTGTGGCTGCAAGAAGGGCTGTGTTGGTCCTGTTGGATGAGTGTTGAAGGCGGCCATTATTCTGGTCCTTTTTTTTTGTCATCATTTCTTTCTTTCTTTCTTTCTTTCACTTTTTCTTTTTTTTTGGTTTCTTTGCACATTTTATTTAATATAGGTACATACCCATTAACAAACTTACCACCCGTCAAACCAACAATACCAAAATAACAAACAACATAGAAGAAAATGGCCGGCTTCTCATTACTCAAATCATGGGCTCGTGTTAATCTTGTATCCAGTGCTGCTCAACAACAACACTCCAACAACAACATCATGGGTGGCAGTCAGAGCCACGAACTTCAATCAAACGGATTCTTTTCACAAATCAACAACAACAACAACAACACCAACTACAACAACAACAACCAATGCATGACCAGTGATAACACTGCAAACGGTCTTTGCAACACCCAATGCCATCTCTCAATTCCATCTCCTGTACAACTGCCGTACGCACTACCTAGTGCTGTTACTCCACCTTCGGGTAGTAGATTGTTTCTTAGTGTTTATGCCACTGGATATCAGAATTATGGTTGTAATGTGACTTCGGGTAGTTTTACTTTGATGGATGCTGATGCTCTTCTTTATAGTGAGAAGGGTGGGGTTCCTGTTGGTGTTCATTACTTTTTGAAGAGTCCGGATGTGAATGGTGGTGAGTGTTACATCTTTTTTGTTTTATGGGTTTAATGGGGGTTTAAGGTTTTTTTGGGTTTGGGTTCTGAGTTAAGGGTATTAAGGGTTTTGCGTATTAGGGTCTTAAGGGTATAGGGTTTTGGGTATTAGGGTCTTAAGGGTATAGGGTTTTGGGTATTAGGGTCTTAAGGGTATAGGGTATAGGGTAGGGTATTGGGTTATGGGATATGGGTTATGGGTCAATGGGTATTGGGTTTTGGGTGTAGGGTTTACTGGGTTCATCACGTTCCTTTGGTAAAAGAGATATAACTTCTCAACCATATTAACCAACCGAATACGTAACATTAACAGGCCGCCCTAGTTGGACATTAATCGACAAAAGCACAGTAACAGTATCAACATTAGCCAAACTCCCCGGCGCAAATCCATCAACCGATATTGCCCTCTTGTTAAACAAAAAGACTACATCATCAGGTGGTTATTCCCCCGATGCCGAATCAGCATTCATGAGATCGTGGCCATATTCTTCCAATGCGGATTCTTATGAGGGATTGTTGAAAGATTGTGTTTATGTTGTTAGGGCTAATACTGCGGGTGGTTTGCCTAATAGAAACACGTGTTATCAGGGGGATACTTTGAGTGTTCCTTATACGTCGGATTATTTGTTTTATTCGAATTAGGTTGGCGTGAGGAAACAGTTTTGGTGGATACCAGTGGTAGCGTGAATGTTTTTTCTTTCCGTAATTATTCTGCAGGGTTTCTTGGATCCCCTTCAAAACTTGTAGTTGGTAGTTTTTCTGTTCTCCTACTTCTTAGCAGATGTGTTGCTTTCTGTGACTTTCAACAAATGTTTTAATGCCATAACGAGGTAATAAACCTTCGCAAAGTTGACATTTAAAAATGGGAAATATTTCGAAATTGAGCAAACCACACACTTTTATGTTCTGCTAAAACCTTCAAGTAAAAAAAAAAACGCGTTCGTAAAAGAAAGATGAACATCAAAAACCGAATGACCACATTCGCCAAGTCATATCCCCAACCGTGTCTTTTGGCCAACCCAGCCATCCATGTTTCTCGACAAAAACTTAGCCGACAAAACCCACAACCCGTTTGCTAGCTCTTCTCTGACACATATAAATGTGCTGTGGATCCTTTCAGTGAACAAGACAAAAACGGTTATCACAAAACTTCCCTTCACGAAATTGTCAGGTTTAATAAACCTTACCCGTTTACCGTATCTTCGCCTGTCCCTTTTTGTCATCCTTTCTTTTTGTTCTCTCGTTCAGTTGTTTTTTTGATTATGGCCAATCAGTCGTCCACAAAGAGAGAAAAAAAGAGAGAAAGAAACAGAGGCTGGTTGGTCCAACACGTCTTCTCTTCTGCGCCCATTGTGAAACGTTCGACCATCAAGCAATCAGGGCAAGCTCATCACCCCTGCTATGGCGCAATTGGCCTAGCGCGTTCGGCTGTTACCCTTGTGGACAGATAACCGAGAGGTTGGTGGTTCAAGTCTACCTAGCAGCGAGGGTTAGTAAGGTTGTGAGCTCTCATGTAGTCTGAAGAGGATATGTGAAGCCGTCTAGCTGTTGGCAGTACTAAATAAACACCATTTCGTCGCCCTTCTTCTCATTTCTTTTGGCTGATTTCAATCTAAACCGCTTGGAAGGGATGTAGCGACTAATTCGATGCCTTGTTGGCTGGACGATGTGTGTAATGCAAGATGTATGAAATAACGTGCCTATTTTTAAAATTGGGGTTTTTTGATATTCCTAAGAAAGGAGTAAGAGCGAATCCACCGATTCCATCAGCTCTATTAGCTCAGTTGGTTAGAGCGTGGTGCTAATAACGCCAAGGTCACAGGTTCGATCCCTGTATGGAGCAAACTTTCCCTTTTATGTCCCTCTTATTGTTTTGCATGCGCCTGACAAGGAAAGTTTGTTTTGTGTTCTTTTCATTTTTTCTTCAATTGGGGCAGATCCGATCTTTCTCCGCTCTTTCGCACTCCCCACTTTCCAATCTCTCTGGAGAGAACATCTTCAGGCAAACCTTTTTGACATTCTCCAAATTAGAGGTAAGCAAAGTTTTGCAACTATGGGTGACCTACAGCACTTAGATCTGTTGATCAGTTTGTTTATGTTTATGTGTGTATTGTTGTTGCTAAATCAAACCACCTTAATTTTATGGATAAAAAAACAAACAAACATATTAACAATCCGCATACAGAAAGACGAAACAAACAAGTTACTGAAACCTTTCAAAAAGCATTCCTGGGTCACCTCAAAAGCACCAAACATCTTTTGTTTATCCTGTCGCCTGTCGCCTGTGACCCTTGTTATATGAAACTTCAATCCTCACTTTCATCTGCATCAATCCCATCCAACCAAGATCAATGCCTCCGAAATCTAAAAAGACGCAAGACCTCGTAACACATCTACCAGTGGCTCAAAATGCTGGGGAAATGCAAAAGGCATTGGTTCAACTACTCCAACAAAAGAACGACACCAAAGTACCCACTTATCAATATGAAAAGTTCAAAGACGCCAAACTACGAAAGGACGTCCGCAAATATCTAAAGAAACTCAACATCCCTTATTCGGACGAGACTTTTAAAAAGGCAATGACGGTCATGGTGAATTTGGATTACAAAAACGTCCCCAACACGATGGAAAACTTTCATTCGGGGATGCTGTTGAGCGAGGCCAAAATCGAAATCGATAAACGGGATCCGAGGATTCAAGCTGACATTTGTCAATCCATCTATGACAAATATCCAACGGGCATTTTAAGCGTGGATAGTATCAGATATCTTGGTGACATTTTTGTTCACGCACAAGAGAAAATCCCGGCAACTGAATCTGACATTGCATTTCTAAAACGGGTTGAAAAGAATAAAGATTCTTTATTGTTGAATCGGATCTTGGCAGCTTATGCTTTGGCTTTTATATATTGGGGTCAGGGGGATCAACAAGCCTGTGCTCAACGAATTCGTAAAGCATTACAATACGAAAGTAAAATGACCGACGAGGAACGGGATGGGTTTACGTATAAAGATTTGAAACAGGTTAGAGTTTCAGAGATTTTGGAGCATCCGATGGATGTGATGAAGGGGTTGCTTGAAATGCTTGAATGTATTGGAACGAATGGGTATGTCAATGAGGCTCACAAGGAAAAGATGTCCGAGACTTATAAAGCCGCTTCGGTTTCTCTTCAGGCGGAGGAGGCTGATGGTAAAGCTGTTTCGCCCGAGGATGCAAAGGCGAAAGAAGCATTGTTGGAGACGTTGGCTCAGCGGGCTGTCGGTGTTGGTGGTAGTGCTTGTAACTGGTGTAAACGGGAAGCCACGAAGCTGATTGGAGAGGGTGGTGGTTCTGAAAGTACGTTGCCGCCTGTAAAGTTAAAACAATGCTCGAGGTGCTTACGAGCTTGGTATTGTTCAACAGAGTGTCAAAGGGCGGCGTGGTCGGGAGGACACAAGAAGTGTTGTCGGGTTCCGTACGTGTTTAGGACTGGGGATTTTGTTGTGTTGAGGGAAATTGAAGTTGCAACTTTGATATCACATGATAACAAGGTGATCAACTTCAAGGCTGGGGAAACACTTGATTTGGATGGTGTTAAATATAATTCGCTTCGATGGTGGGTTATGGTTGTTCTCGGGGCTTTGGACGGTGATATTGAAGACGGAGATTGCACAAAAGATACTCTATGGAAGGTGGAAAGTAGGGAAGGGTTGTTGCTTCATTTGAGGGGGGATCAATTGAATCTTTTTATTCCTTTAGAGGAACACTCTTCTCTTTTGGGGGCAAAATAGATGGTGGTTTTCGGGGTTTCTGTCTCTTCTTTTGTTTTTGGGTTTCCGCAACATTTTTTCGCCCCAAAACTTCTGTATTTATTACGTAGCCTTCATGTCAAGTCGTTTCTATTCATTAGCATTCCTGTTACCTTTCTTTTCGTTTCTTTTCTTTTTCTTTTGGATAGATTTTTTATCCCCACCTTTACTATCTTGGATTTCTCACGTTTCTGTTAAAGTTTTTTGGTCGTAATATATTTATAGATTTGATTTTTTGGATGTCTGTTTTCTTTTCTTTAGCAGCTGTGTTTTGTTACTTTCTTGGATGGTCCGCTGGGGAAAGGTTTTGGGTTTTTTCAATAAATTCGCACATGGTAAAAAAAAAAAAAAAAAAAATATGAAAATGGGCGAAGGATGACGAAGGGGGAGTTCAAGTTTTTGCTAGAGTAAGTTTGATAACCCTCCGTCTTCGGCCCATCTGATAATGATATGGCCTGTTGACACTTTTATACTCATGCAATATTGTCAATAAAACAGGTTGTGGGAAGTTTTTTGAGGCCAACTGAGCCCAGTGTTGGCGCATCAAATATTTTTCAGTCGTGAGCGAAACTTCGCCAATCATTCTGGGGAAAGAAAAAAAAAAACCGCAACCTTGTTGCAACACATTCCAAACTGACATTATATATCGTGATATTTGAAGAAACAAATGTGGGCCGAAGATGGATGATTACCTGAACTTAAACACTAAGATTATGACATGCATGAAAAATATATAGACTGGACTGGTACCAGTCGGCCGTGAGATTATCGAGAATTACAACAAACAAACTGCAGAAAAGACCAAAAAAAAACAACAACCTATCATCCATCACATAATTGCCCCGCACCCTCCCACTTTTTTACTTTTGCCGTGATGTGCTGTTGTTGGTTCACTTTTCTGTTTGTGGATGCTTGTGTTTCATTGAGTTTGCAACAAAAAGACTGATTTAGAGCAAACATGCAAAGTCAAAATCTCAGGAACCAGTTTGAATTTCACCTCTATTTCGTTTTTGGGGCTCGTGTTAAAAAAAAAAGAATATTGTTGTGATTGTCGTTTTCACGTTTTCTGTTTTAGCAGTTTACGCGACACGTACTATCCAAGCAAAAAGAACAAAAAACAAGGAGGGAAGGTTGACGAACGGGAGGTTCACCAAAGTAAGTTTGATAACCGTCCAGTGTTTGCTTTGCCAAAAACTTCTACATTAATGCAAAAGTTTCAAGGTTACAGGTTGTGGATCTTTTTTCTCGCTCATCTGAGCCTTGAAGAAAATATCAAAATTCGATGCAACTTCCCCACCAACGCGCAATAGGAAAAGGAAATGTCACTATCGAATCTGTTTGGGACACCTTTTGAGAATACGGACGAGTGAGAACAAAGACCCCCCAAAAAGAACCTGTTGCCCATAAAATACTCTGTTCTTGTTTGACTGCGTGAATTCTGTAGATTTTTTGTCGCGAAGAAAAAAAGAAGTAACAGGAAAAAAGGATGAGCGAAGGTTGACGCACGGGGGAGTTCAAGTTCGACAAAGTAAATTTGATAACCGTCCGTCATCGGCTCATCTGATTCTTCTAACTCTAGCATTGACTTTTATATTCATGAAAAAAGTATCATGCTAATGGGTTGTGGTTTTCTGGCGCAAACTGAGCCGATTCTAGCAAAATTTTGAAAGGAACAACTATTACGCAACTTCGCCATAAACAGTTAACAGGCGGGAAAAAAACCACAACCGTGTTGAAGCATATTCTAAACAACCAATATATTTTGTATTGGTCGTGGAAGAAAAATGTGGGCCGAAGATGGATGATTACCTTTTCTTGAACAATATGATTATGACATGCATGACAAAAAGATTTAATGACTGGACTGGTACCAGTCTTTGAGAACGCGACTAGGAAACAAAAAAGAAAAGACCAAAAATACCAACATCCTATCATCCATCACACAATTGCCCCGATCCCTCCTTTTAACCTTTTTCGTGTTTGGTTGGTTCACATTTTTTCACATTACTTGCACGTGTTTGTCTGAGTGGCAACAAGGAAGACGGAGCCAACATACGACGTCAAAAGCTTAGGGACCAGTCTATATCTCACTTCTATTCTCGACGCTCGTGCTGTGATAATCGGCTTTCATTCTTTCATTCCTTCTTTTTTTTCTTTTCTGTTCAGTATTTTATTTCGTTTAATGTTCAGTATTGTCAGATGTACTACAACCAGTTGTGTACACGTGTATCTCAACATCGATTTAATACGCGATTTGTTTATTCATCATGTTCACTTTAAACGCGGTACAACCAATTACGTTTCAGTAACACAATCACCAATTCATAAATGACAAATAGCGGCTAC